ATAACCCCAAGCGCAGAAAATCATGGGGAGTTCCCGGCCATGCTTCCATGTCGACGGCCAAACCGAATATTCACGGCTCCAAGGTCATGTTCTGTATTTGGTGGGACCAGCTCAGCGTAGTGTATTATGAGCTGTAAAACCGACTGAAACAATCACAGGCGATCGGTATCGAACGCAATTGATGCGTTTGAGCCGAGCATTGAAAGACAAACGGCCGCAATATAACGAGAGACACGATAAAATGATTTTGCAGCATGACAATGCTCGACCCCATGATGCGAAAGTGGTCAAGACATACTTGGAAACGTTGAAATTACCCCACCCGCCGTATTCTCCAGACGTTGCTCCCTCTGACTATCACTTGTTTCGATCAATGGCACACGGCCTGGCTGACCAGCACTTCCGGTCTTATGAAGAAGTAAAAAATTGGATCGATTCGTGGATCGCCTCAAAAGATGACCAATTTTTTCGACGCGGGATTCGTACGCTGCCCGAAAGATGGGAGAAAGTAGTGGCCAGCGATGGACAATACTTTGAATCATAAATTTATAACCAGTTTTTTACGATAAAGCCTCGAATTTCGGAAAAAAAACGGCGGAAGCAAAGTTGTACACCTAATAAAATCGTAAAACATATGTGAATGCAATATCAGAAAAAAGGGAGCCAAATTGGCTCCAACGGTCCTTCTAGGTAGACAATTAAATAAAAATTCAACACACTATCTTGTGTAATTAAATTTTTATTTACCTAAATTAAGATTATGATGAAAAGTCACAAGAGGTTATCACATGGAAGAGAAATTGAAAAAAGTTATAGCCGTTTGAAGTTTGCGAGGAGCAAACTGGCTACCTTGATCCTTCTAGTGTTAACATCACGCCACGTGTACTGCTTATTTTATCGCTTATTTTATTTTTATTTTTTTGTAATAAGCATACTAATTAACAATGAATCAATAGCTGGGTATAACAGCGTTTTATTAAATACACTTCATCTACGCGAAATTAGTAAATCATTTTTTAGCAATGTTTGCGATGTGTATATATACAGTCGAGACGCTATATTTTAAGGATTGCAACATATTTATACGATGGTACGATGAACGTCGGAGCGAGTATGAGCGCTGCGGGGAGCATTGTTACATCAGTTAGTAGCAGCAGTAGTAGTAGTGGTGGTAGTGGTAGTAGTAATAACACCAGTACTGGTAGTAGTAATGGTCAAACCTGCCGCTTTCTCGATTATATCGATAACAGTCAACCGACAGTCCGCCGATAAGCATTGGCTAATATTTCATGTTGATCTGGAGATTCAAGTAGTGTCGGGAAATACGATGATTAACGATGAGATACGCTACTCTATCTGTCAGACTCTCTCGTACATGTGCACGATCGTATGTTAGACATCGATAAGAATTTTCAACATTGATCTCACTCGTCGCAATCACGGGGCGATCCTGAATAACATTGGCGCGCTTCGATCACATACGAATTCTTTCGATCGATTTTACTGAATTTTTCTTTATGGAATCGATTGATCAGAATAAGCGAAAATTTAGCACAAAATTTAGAGTAGATTTTTTGGAACGTTTGTTTACGCAAGATTTTTTTACAGTGTAATAACTCAAGTATCGAACCTTGTGCGTTGTTTATATTCTATTTATTTACAGCCACGGCGCGAGAATTCTCATATCAAAATTTTCAATCTTCAGTCAAAATCCGTCGACACAAAGTAAAGTAAGCGAACCTATTTCGGAACCTGTTTCGAAACACTTTAATTTTTTTCCTGTATTAGCCGTCAAATATCAAATTTTTATGTTAGTAACAAAGAATATGTTCTTTGTTACTAATATGAAAATTTGATATTATTTGACGGCTAATACAGAAAAAAATTAAAGTGATTCGAAATAGGTTCTGAAATAAGTGGCTGTAAATAAATAGAATATAAACAACGCACAAAGTTCGATACTTGAGTTGTTACACTGTAAAAAATCTTGTGTACACAGTACGTAAACAAACATTCCAAAAAGTCCACTCTAAATTTTGTGTCGAAAATAACACATTCATATGTTCATTTCTCTGTTATTTACATTATGTATATACTAATACATAATATAAATAGCACACGAATGAACACATGAATGAATTATTTTCGATACAAAATTTAGAGTGGACTTTTTGGAACATTTGTTTACGTACACAAGATATTTTACAGTATATGGAAACATCCATACAACACTCTCATACGTTATGAGCATTTAGTTATATTTCTAATATCTCTTTATATCAGATCTTTATAGAAATTTTATTTTTATTTACGTTCATATTATTTCATATAACCCTTATATTATCTCTATACTTCTAATATTTTTATAAAATCTCTATAAAAATTGTATTCTTATTTATATTTGTGTTAATTCAAACAATATTTACTTATATATTTTTATATATTTTTCAAAAAATATATCACTATATAAGATCCTTATAAAAATTTTCTGTTCACAATATACACTTTCTTTACAGTGTGAAAGCGTTAATTTTTCTTTATTCTTTCTTTAGATACTCGCCAAATTTCACGCGTCGTCTTTAGCCTTGAAGATCAATGATCCACAGCGATTCGACGAGATCGTTACACCTTTAAAAGAAATGATCTACACGAAAGATAACAAAACGTTTATGGAAAATTTAATTCCGCAAGCCTTACAGTGGACAATAAATAATATAGGGTACATAAAACCACAAACTCAAGCGTTGCAAACAATGAAAAATGTTATCTTCAATTGCAAATTCGATATCTATAACAATTTAAAACAATTGTTCTCCGAGCCAAAGCAAAAATATTCTACGATGTGCCACACTGATGTGTGGATCAATAATCTGCTCTATTTGTATGATGATAACGACAAGCCGATTGATGTAAAATTAATCGATTACCAGAATGTTAGGTATACCTCGGCAGCCTTAGATCTTCTTAATTATATATACAGCAGCGTGTCATCGTCACTGATTGAAAATAGCTACGAAAGCCTCATTAAGATCTATCACAGTACACTTCTCAAGGAGCTTCGTCAATTACACGTGAGTGAAGTGGTTTTGGCGGAGCTCGGAGAAGAATGGTTGGAAGAGGGCTTGAAAATGTATGCATTTTTTGCATTAATTACTGGATGCTGGGTACTACATATGGTTTTAGCGTGTGATGAGGAAATAAAGATGTATCATAAGTACGGTCCGCGCTTTGATTTGCGTTTTGCCAAATCACACAAAGGCAAATTCGAGCGAATCAATTGTATCGTGACGCATTACTACAATAGATATCACTTGGGTATTATTCGTGACGATCTCGAACCGCTTCCTGTCACGGAGTAGTCTTCAAACTTCTCGTTCAAACTAATAAGGGCTTGCAAAAGTTCGTCGGACCATTAGCCGTATATTTCTTTCTTTGTTAATAGTAATTAATTATTAATAGTAATTAAAACAATATATGTTACATTTAATTAAAGTATCCGCTAATACTATCCACCACTTTCTATCACTTGCAGATAATAATCTGATTCCACGTAAAACAAGTCATTTTTAATCTTTAGGGTAAACTCGGGTAAGATGACCATACTTTTTTAAAATGCAAGCAAAAAATATATTTCTTAGTGTTATTTCTTAAGCGTTTGGCATATTACTTCACTGAAGCCTACAATACATAATACTATCACATTTAAAAGGAAAATATTTCAGTGAAATTATTTATTACAAAAATATCAAAACATGAGCATTGGCCATCTTACCTAAATGTTTAAAACAAGATGGCCATAAGGAATAGATGACCCATATATATTTTATGTTCAAGATTCTGTATCTATTATTTTATAAAATAATGAAAAGAACATAATTTGACATATTCATTTTAATATAGGATATTTAATACATATTATTTGTGAAAAATATAATATACATATAAAATAGAAATCTCTATTACAAAACTTAAATTTTAAAACCAATTTTTGGTCAAAACATATTGTACATAATATTTAATTACTGTGATATTGAAAGTAATTTTTGAAATATAACTTTTGTTTTATAAATGTTAGAGTGATAGTGGGCCATCTTATCCAAAATGAGTGAAAGACGATTATAATAGTACTTATAAACAAATAGTGAAAATGAAAATAAAAATGCATGTTATATTACAATTTACATACTTTATGTATCTAACATACAGTAATATATAATTACAATATATAAATACATAAATATACAATTTACCTACTTTATGTATCTAACGTTGATTGCGATAGCTTAACTGTAATTTATTCGATGTTACAGCAAGTTTTAGTGGATACATGAAAAATTTTATAAGTAGTCGAAAATAAAAATATAGTATAATATTCATAATCTTACTATTTCGAAAAATATACGTACATACATTACGATAAATATCGATTATCTTTGTGACTGATTACACAAACACAATGTTTTGCAATTATTAGAGAAATTACAGCTTATGGCCATCTTTCCGGTATGGCTATCATATCCGAGTTTACCCTATAATGTAATCACACACACACACACAATGACGCACGATGAAATTTTACAAGCTCCTGATACAACAATAGCTATTTTGCTTAACAAATAAGCGATAATTTTCAATATAATGTTCAAGCGAAACGAGATGATAATCATGACATAATATTTTTCTTCGTGTTGCATAAATAATGCTTTATGTATTGTTACATACACGGGATTGGGTCGATTAATATATACTTTTTAACTAAATTAAGTTTAAAGTTAACGACTTATAAAATTGACTTATAAAACTTAGTTAAGTTAATTTAGCTTGTGAGAAAGCATAATATTTTATGCAAATAAAGATTATTTTAGAAATATCCTCTTATGTGATGCACATCAATGATTGTAAATTTGCATTGGCGTTGCGTAAATTGTTTCTTAACGAAGCTGTTGGATAACGACATTGTAAATGACAGTTTGTGCAAACAGCGGCTGCCTCGCAACGCACAATTTTGCTGTCGAATACGCCAAAGTCTATCCGCAACGCCCATCCGTTTCATCGCCGCGGGCATTATTCCATTATCTCTGAGCGATATTCTACTGTGATTATTGTTGCCGACAAAACCGCAGTACAGACATCTTCAAACATCGTAACCCGATGCTTATTAGCTTCATTATTTCGAAAAGCTATGGAGAGTCGCGAAGAGTTACGCGATACCCAGATGAGACGAACAAACGCTTAAGCTCGGCCACTGTAGGACATCCACGATACACGTCGCGTTGCGAAATTTTTTCCTATTATTTCCCTTTTAAATGTCACTCATCAAGTGCTCGTCTATTTTCGAGTTGAGACTTCGTATCTTGATCTCGCGTTCTAAACACAAGAGGTTCGTTAAATATAAGAAGCATATTGAAAATATAATAGCTCGCGAAGACCACGTGAGAGGAAAGGAGAGGAAGAGAGGGAGGGACAGAGAAAGAGAAGAGAGAAGGAGGGAGAGGGAGAGAGGCAGAGAAAAAGAGAGAGAGAGAGAGAGAGGATGGAGTAAAACTGAGGGATTTAAAAGCTGAATCGTTTCATTCGGCATACCGTGCACGATCTCCAAGTGGAACGGCAAATAGACGAGAGACGGGTTACGTTGTTTGACGAGGGTGGATGTGTGCGGCGAGTTAAGGTGTCGGTTTCGCAGCGTACCTGTGCGCGGGCCAATGTCCCAGGGCGTGGGAGCGCGTGTCGCTTAATTGCTACACTCTTTTCTTCTTGCCCCACCACCGACTCGCCGGGGTGTTGCATTGTGCCGCGCAGAGGCACGCGGAAACACGCGTGTACGCCGAGGGGAATATTAAGATGCCGGAAGGACGCGTTCTCTCGCGCCTCGACGTTACGTGGCTCCTGTCTTTCTATTGTTCGACGACGTCGCGCCGAGCCGCGCCGCGACGTCGTCTTGAGCCGCGTGGGTCTGGAAAGACATCGATAAGAATCCACGATCCCGCCGGATTAAGGCTGCGACGACGTAACGTTACGTCGTGGCGGGGGGGAGGGGGGAGTAGGAGCATTTTTAGAAAGTACTAGTACGAGACGTGAGTCTCAGGTTGGACGACGCGTGTGTTATCTCCCGCTCGTTTTAATCCTCGCGCGGCGGCCGCCAGGTGTGCTTATTGGTTTTTTTTTATTGAAAATGTCTCGGCGATATGTCGCCGATATTATTGCCTTCTCGCTAGAAATTATTATTCGCTACCAACATCTTTGCGCGGCTCTTGTTCTCGAGATCAATTCGATTGGATGAATGGCTCTCTGAGATCTGAATTAATAGTTGTCACCTGAGACTTGTCTCCTGTGAGTTGCTCAGATTTTTATTCAGAATTATATCCAAGTTCTTCAACTGAATTACAATGTATGTGATACTAGCTTTAACTATTCGAGTTATTGGGATTATCACAATGTGTCCAAAGGATGAAATCAGTGGAAGGAAGTGGGCTGTCCAGAAACAGACATTCTATTTTATATACATATATATTTATATTTTATATACATATATTATACTTTATATACATTTTATTTTATATACATATAGATTTATATCTGTAATTGCACGATTCAACTGAAAAAATTTAACTCTGAATTTAAATCCGAGCATCTCTCTTGAGACGAGTTTTAAGCAGTGTTTATATTTATTATTATATAATATTCAATGCGAAAATTTTCTTTGACTAAAATAAACGACAAATCAATTATTAAAATTAATAAACTGTATTAATATGTGTATTAATAAGTAATAATAATACAGTAATAAATAATAGTAATACAGTTAATAGAAACTGTAAATAAAAAGTTGCTGTGAGTTGTATTTGACGCATCGCCGATTAACACGGTACACTTTCGTGACGTTCCAAGGATATCGCGATTTTTTTCTCTCGCGCAACCGGAGATTCGGACTTTCCAGCATTCTGAGATGTAACGTCGTAAACGCGTATGCGGGATTATAATAAAATTCAAGGTGTAAATGGCGGAGCAGCTGGGTACCGCGTGGGAAACGAGGTTTCCCAGAAAGAATCCGCTGGTGTAAGAATTTGGAGCAAAAAAGTCTTACACAAAATCTCAAAGGTTGGACGTTGCAACCACATATGTGGGAACAATAAATCCCAGCGCGAACAAAAAGAATTCACATACAATATACAGTCATAAATTTTACGCGCTCTGCTGACAGACTAAAATCACATGAACCTATCGCTATTTGCAGAATAAACTGTTGTTTTCAGTTCTAACGTCCAAGAAAAAAAAGAAATTTAACGCGTTGATGCTTACATTTTTTACGCAAATCGGTGAAATGCGACGATATTTACAGTCACTGATGACACACCGTGGTAGTAAACGCGTTAACAGAGGAAAAGTTGTTAGTTTTTAAAGAAATCAGTGATGCAGAGATGAGCTTAAAAGGAAAAGGGTTCGAAAACGATGCTACGAGAAACTGTAAATAGCGGAATGTTCGCGTTTTCCAAAATTCTGATGGTTTTAATCGCAAATGCACTCTATATGGAACTGAATGCACTAGCGATAACAGCACGGTTATCTGTCGAATCCGATGATAGTCAACGCCAAAGCGAACTATACGTGGAAAAAGAGTAAAGCGCGGACAAAATACGAACATTTCCGCGAGCCAAACGCTCTGGGATGTATACCGGATATATATATATATATATATATATATATATAACGTATATATATATATATATATATATATATATATAACGTGAAATTTTCAATCCCGTTCCTTAAAATTCTTTTCAATAGCCTCAGTATTCCCTGCAATCTACTACTTGGTTATATATACACAAAGTTCTATAATAACTTTGCTATAATCTATATATAGTCAATTACTAATAGTCAAAATAACACAACGGTAATGTGTTAAATTAACATTCGGGTGTGTTAAAAATTTAACACAAAAATTTCTACATAGATCTATTTCAACACACATAAAATCCCAGACAACATAATGCTAAAATCGGGACATAAGACGTTTTAAAGATCATCTTTAAGATGTCTTTCAGACAATTTACGTAAAAATGTCTTTAAGGTGTCTTATGTCCCGATTTTAGACATTATGTTGTCTGGGATGTTTCTTATCGTGCATTATTCATACAGTATAAGATACAGGACGTTATCTCTTACGTAGCGCGAATTTTTTTCACGTAAGTACTTCAAACGACCAGAAAATTGAATATAGTACGATAAAATACATGAGATATGGCGTATAAGCTGATCGAATAATAAGACAATACGACAAAAACGATGTCTCCCTTATAGTGAGAGTTCGACGAGTCGCATTTCCATTCGACTAGCGTAAGAGAGAGAGAGAAGAGCCCGACGATAATTTTTCTTGTGAACCACTGAAAACGTAGCAGAAATTGGAAAGAGAAGAAAAATTGAAAATTGAAAAGAATTCATATGAAAGAAAACCATAATATACTCTCCGTGTATATACATTAATTC